CGCGCTGGGGCCGCGGCGGAGATGCTCGGTTCCCCGCAGAGCCCGCCCGGCCCCGAGGCCCGGCTCCGCACCTAGGTCCCGTTACCAGCCGCGGGACCTTAACGCTCAGCAGCTTAAAGGTGCCACCGAATTACGTCGTTCCGTTCCGCTGTAAACACGGAGCTTCGTTCGCAGGCTTTCCCCCTCATTAACGACAAGCATTAACGTACTTATTTTCAAACAAGCACTGAGGTTTTTCAGTCGTTCGATTACAGGAACTGGAAGAGCACTGGGTAATCCTCAGCCACCAAGGCAAAAGTTACAAGAACTGGTAACGCTGGGGGGGAAAAAAATCGTGTTTTAAAGCAAGTACTTAAGCAGCATCTGAGCTGGCCTTATTACATCTCTTTCGTCCACATAGTTGGCAATTACATTATCAGTGAAAAGCAAGGGAGATGAGGGGATACATTTCTTGTGAAAATCTTTTATGACCGCAAAGTCAACAAGTCAGCGTTTATAAAAATAATCTGCAGTGTACACGCCCTGGGAGGATATCGGGTTGACCTCTGTCCTGTAAAAACCTAAGCTGAACAGAGGAGGAAAGTCGTCTTGATAATAGTCCTTTTAAGCAAACCCTTATCAAAGAGACCTGTTTTTTTCCTGCCAAATGCCAATGGAGGAGAGGAGGGAAGGAAAGGGAAAGCTGCTTTCCCTGCTTGGAGTTAGTGTCCTTTGCCCTGGGAAAGCACAGAAAGCTCCTCCGCCCGCTGGTGGGTTTAGCCACCAGATACCTCCGAGGGGCTCGGAAAGGCCCCTCCAGCTGTAAAAGGCGGGGGAGTCCCCTGCTCCCACCGGGCCAGGGGAAACGTTTGTCCCCTGCTGATTTTCATCACCCGGCTTCTCCTTTTTCCTCGGCAGGTCCGCCCTGCCCGCGCACACCAGCCAGCTCAGGGACAGGCACAAGCAGCGCTGGGCTCGGTGCTGCCTCAGGCAGGCCAGCGTGCGCGTGGCCAGCAGTGCAAAGGCAGGTTAAAAGCTGCTTTTTCCGTTTCCCTGACATCGCTGAAACACCTCTGGCCTTACCTGGATCCCTGTGTAGCCTTTGCCTTTTCCCCCGTGATATCCAAGCACCTGCCCACCCTCAGATTACAACAGGTACGGCTTGGAAAGGTTTGTGCGCGTACCCTAACCTTTCCTCACACCTGCATCTCTGTGCAATCGCGGCTTAACAGAGCCCCAAAGTCGCCTGCTTAGAAGAAACTGTAAGTCAGGACTTGTTAAAACCTGGCTTGTGAAATCTTCTGGCAGCACTGGCAGTTGCATCTTCAGTTTGCCAGATGTGGAACTGGGGATGACAAGGCTTCCTCAGAGCTTAGGAGTGGCCCGGGTAAGCCAGCTGTCCCAGAGCCAGAACGGTAAAATGCGTCCTCTGCAAGGAGGCAGGGAGAGGACGTCCCTCCTAAATGTAATCCCAGCACTGCTTTTGTCGTTTTTTCCCCAATCTCTTGGTGGATTTGCTATTGTTTCCCCCCTCAAGTCCTGCCCAAACGTTGGCGGAGAGGGGTATGCGCAAAACCACTTCTGTCCCGGGTCTCTGCTTGCTTTGCTGCTCAGGAGCTTTAGCAGAGATCTTCCCTAAGCAGCCCAGCTTTGGCGTCTTGTTTGCCGCGGAAAGTGTCTCCCTTAATCTTCATCTTTCAGCTTTCGAGAAGAGAGCTTTGAAATTCATACCAGATCAGCTGCCGCGTACTTGGCGTGAGCTGCCCGCATCCCCGCTAGTCACGCTGTATACCAGCCCTGCCCCAGATAGCAGCTCCTGCTGTTTCTCATTAGGTCAAGCTGGTGAGCTTTCCGGGAGTCGAGCCAAAAGACAGCTACCATAGTTCCTGGTAGCCCAGTGGAGCTTCATTTCCACGAAAAATGGAAAAAGTGGGATAGAAGGTGCTCTAGAAATAAAGCACTAAGATCTGGAAGCCTAGGGTCAAAATGATTAAGACTGCTTTTCAATCACCAGAACCAACCAAACAAGCAAACACCACCCCCTACGCACACTCAGAAGCCAGTTAATTCCAATCTGACTAAAAAACAAGCAGCCAAGAGCAAGGAGGTTGGAAATACGCAATGAAGCTCACGCATCCAAACCTGGCCCACTGCTTTATCCTAAGTGCACCAGCTGGTTAGAAGAAAAACACGATTCGGGGTCTCGCGCTCCTGGAACTTATGCCTGTCGTTATCCCCAGTTGTTTCGTTATTACCCAAGGCTTAAAAAAACACGAGAGATTAGCAAGAACGCATGGAAAGTTGGAGCAGTTCTGCTCACTGTGTGTTTGCGTGTTGTAACCGCTAATTGGCCAGGAAACCATGGAACAACAGGCTCAGCAGCAGAGCTCGAGGCTGGCGGGAAGCAGAGGCGTACGCTGAGCGGCAATACCGTGTTCTGGTTGCCTTCACCGAGCTCACCAAAGCTGTTCTGGATCTTCTCCCCAGTGCAGAAAAAATACCTTTGGGGAAATGAAAAGAAGAGCCTGACAGCACAGTTCTTTCCTTTGCAAAATGAGCCGCTTACAACTTACCCTTAAAATAAAGCTTCAGAAGAAAACTGGGTTTTGTGTAGAATGGTGCTGGGGTGGGGGAAGAGGGAAGGGACATTTAAAGGTTCACATTTCAGAAGGGACATTTAAAGGTTCAGATTTAAACACAACAACTCAGGTGCTCAATTCCCAGCTGATCCCAGAACCCCCCCAAGTTTAAAGGCGGCTCCTCCGAGCCTGCTCTTAACCAGAGCCGCCACTGCGGGATGCTGTGCTCCGCGTTTTCGTTAGCTGTCTTCTTGCGAGCTTGCCCGGAGCCAGGCCAGGGTTATGTGGCCGTTGAGTACCCGTGTTCTAACACCCGGGGTTTGGAGAGAAAGGTCTCTGCCATTGCCTTGCCCTGCTCTCAAGCAGCAATCGCAGGTCCTGGCATTGCACAGGAAGGCACTCGGAGGTCTCGGGTGCACGCAGAAAGGCGCCTGGAGGCCCCTGGGCTGCGCAGAACGGCACTCAGAGGCTCCTGGGATGCATACAGGGGCGCTCGGAGGCCCCTGGGGCACTTAACCAGATTCTGCAGCCTCCAGTGAAAGCAGGATCATCCAGGGGAGCCTGGCTGCGCACAGGGGGAGAACGGTCCCCGGGGAGAGGGACGGAAGCGGTTGCATTGCCTGCACGGTGGGGACGGCGGGGATGGGGGCCAGGCTGGCTGAGCTCTGCAGCCTGGCCTGCCCCTCTGTCCTGGCTGCCCCTGGCTACAGAGGAGCCTCCCGAGGAGGCATCGGGGTCGCTGTGTGCCAGGAGCTGCAGCTCCCCGGCAGGCAGGACAGAGCCATTTCAACCCTCCCTGTGCCCCGGGGTGGCTGGGGAGCAGGGCTGGTGCTCACCGGAGAGGTCTGGCTTTGGGTGCTCTGCCATGGCCAGCAAAGCTCTCGAGGACTTGGTTATTGCTTCTGGGATGAGCTGGGGGGCAGGATGGCTCCACAGCCACTGGTGTCCCACTGCTGACCCTCTTTCCTGCATGACTGGCCTTGGGGGCAGCTGGGGAGCAGGGTGGAGATGCCACGGCTGGCACCTCCAGCGGCCCCCAGTGTGGGGGGGTCAAAGCTAAACCCCAATGTGGCTTTGGGGGCCTGAGCACCGCAGTCCTAGAGGAGCAGGAGGGCCCAGAGGGGATCCCATGCTGCGTGTCTGGGAACACGGTGATCCCGAGAGTGTCTGCAAGGACCCCATCACTAACACGTTTGGTGGGGGGCTGCTTTCGGGGCCATGCAATGGGAGCAGGGTGCTGCTCTGCAGAGGCAGTGGCTGGAGCGCTCTCTCTGCACGGGAAAGGCCACCCGCCTTGGACTTCACCTGTGCACTTGGACTTGGACTGGATCTGCACAGATAAACCTGAGCCCCAGCATGGGGCAGCCCTCGGGGACACCTCATGGTCCATTTGCTCCCTGAGGTGGTTTGGGAAGCTGTCCCACTTTGCTAAAGGTGCAGGTGTGAGCGGGTGCCTGTGCTTGCCCTGCAGTCCCCGCGAGGTGGGGTTTTGCTATCAGCACCCTGTGCTTTACGGCGATGTTGGGAGCGCTTTCGGCAGGCCTGGCTGTCACCGAACCGCTGCCAGGTCCTGGTGGGGACGGTGCAGTGCCCGGTTAGTGGCGGCCCTGCTGTCAGTGTGGGGAGGGAAGCCTCGGGCTTGGCTGGCACTGGGCTCTGGGGCTGCTGGAGCTGTGGGCACAGGGACACTGTTTCCAATTCCAGTTCGAGATACAAAGAGTGGCTTTTTTTCCCCAAGAACCTGTCTGAAGGAGCAGGGGCTGGGTTTCAGCTCTGTCTCCCTCCAGGGGCTGGTGCAGAAGCGGGGGGCTGCATCTGCCGGCTCGCTTGGCTCCCTGCAGCCCTACCGGGAGCTGCGCCCAGGAGGAGCCGAGCGGCAGCCGGGCACGGCAGCACGTGCCAGGCTGCTTTTCTTCTTGGAAATAAGAACTGGAGCAAGCCACAACTGAGACAAGGCGATATTTGATTTATTCACTGCATTGTTTATTTAACTGCTGCTAACAGCTCTCAGAAAGAGGCATCCGTCCCTTAGCTCCCCGAGTCCTTGTCTCCTCCTGCAGCGAGCTCTTGCTAGCCACTCCGACGGGCCATGGCAGGTCCCCCAGCCACGTGTGGACGATGCGGTTGCTGCAGAAAACCCCCGTAATGACCCACCAGGCCAGAGCAGTGGGGTCCCAGCTGCCAGGGGTGGCTGCTGCCTCCTCCTCACAATTTGGTTGAGGCTCGGGATGGGTGCGGGTCTGCCTGGTTATGGGGCAGGCTGTTGCTGTGGGGCAAGGTGGTGGTGACTGGCGTTTGCCTGTCGTGGGAGCCCTCTTTGCAGAGATGCTCCCTGGTGCTGCAGAGGTCTGGGTAAAACGCTGCTATGGGGCTGCCCCTGCAACCGTGGGTTTTGCAACCAAAGCTCTCCCAGCCCGACCTCCATCCCAGCCCGACTGCAGAAGGGCTGGGCCAAACCGAGTCTTGCACAGCGCAGCTGCCAGCGTGACTGCCCTCCTGGCTGCGGCCAGAGCCGCTGGCGTCGGGTGGACGGCTTCCCTCCGGAGCAGAGCTGCGGGCCAGGGAAGACGGGTGTTTTCGGGCTCCCTTTGCCCGCTGCCATCGCAGCGGTGGTGTGGAGCACCCTGGGACAGGGGCAGTGCCACGGGAGGCCGCTCTGCTACCGCTGTTCGGCATCCCCGGCCCCTGCCCCGCAGGGCCGCAGCTGTTCCCGCTGCACGGAGCCAGAGTACACTGTGTTCACCCGGAGGCCTTGATTAAACAAAATGTTTATGCATGCCTCTGCTCCGACGAACATCTTGGCCGGCTTGCACGAAGCCTGCTTTCCACCATAGCTCCAGCTGCGCTGGGGCGCAAGCCCCGGCTGCCAGGAGGTTTGGGGAGGGGTCTGTGTGATGCTAACTTTAGGAGCCTGCTGGCCTTCTCTGGATGGTCCCCACTCCAGGAACCCCCACCCTTGGTCCCTGCGCCCCCAGCTCCGCTACGAGGGGCTTTGGCTGCCAGGGAGGTGCCCGCCCTGCAGCCCCTTGGTGCCAAGGGGAGCTGCTGGCCCCTTTGAGGGGCTGCGGGGGGGGCACGCTTTGCTTCTTTACCCCAGGGGGGTTGACACCCACCCCATGAACCCGCTACCCCTTTCCCACTTGAGCAGGGCTTTGGGGTGCATCTTGAGATTTCAGGAACAGCTAAGACATTTCCTGGGCTCCAGGGTGTCTCCGGCAGTGCAGAACACTGTTCCTGACACTGTGTCTTCTCAGCACCCTCCCGGTGACCACCCGCGCATCATGCCTGTGTACAACACCATGGGGTAGAGTGAGCCATTTCCAGCACCAGCCAGGGCAATCGCAGGGCTAACACGAGTTTCCAGGGCTGGCCTGCTTGCAGCTCCATGTCCCCTGTCCTGCCTGGCCAGCATCGTCCGGGATGTGCCCATTTCCTTCCCTGCCCGAGGGGACTGTTTGTGCCAGTTCTGCACATCTGAAGTTAACGGGGGACAGGCTGGCCCCGCCGGCCTCTGTAATCTCTCAAGCAGCGTGTGGCTGCCCGGTCCATGCCTGCACGGCAGCCCTCAGCCAGATGTGCCATCATCATATGCATGGTGTTGCTCCTGCTGATAGCTCCAAACCCCTTGGAGGGCGTGGGGTAACTCCCCCCAAGCCATTTCCCCTATGGGGAAGGAGCAGCATGCCTTGGGCAAGGGGGGACCAGCATATTGAGGTCATGTACAACCTGCCAGCTGAAACCAAAGCCAAAGAGAGGTGTTTGGAGGTTTATGGGGAGCTCTGGATGCCGATGTGACTCGGGGATGGATACCGGAGCCGGGATCTGCTCTGTGGACCTGAGAGTTGAACAGTGCCTTGGAGACTGGCACTAACCCGTGTTTGTGTACATGCTAAGGGCGTGCTGGGAGAGTCGCACGAGGTGGAGCATCCCAGCGTGCAGAGTTTAACAGCCTAATAACAGCTAGGGACAGGCAGGCAGGGAGGCTGGAAGAAACTGGTGGGATCGATGCTAAACTCTCAGTCTTCTGGCTGGTAGTTGGGTGATGGATACCTTGCAAGAGAGACCAGCCCTGTGTGTTAGCCAGCCCCGCGAGGAGCGGGGAGAAGGGGTCTGCAGGACTGAGATAGGGCGAACAGTGAAGCTCAGAGCTCGGTGCCTTGAATTCAGGAGGCCAGCAAGGAGAAGAAAATGCTGATGGCCATCAGGTGCTGATGGCCACTTCGATGATGGCAGCCCTGCACTGGGCTGCCAGCTGTGGCTCGCTGGCTGTGGCAGGCTGCGGGATTGTTTCCCAAGAGCACCGGCTTTCAGCAGAGCCAGTTGCCCAAGCAGCTTGTGTGCCCCTGCCAAGCTGTGTGCCATGGCCCTTGCGAAATGGTGTTGATAAACACTCCAGGGCATGCCAAGTCCTGCGAGACGACAGCTGATGTGCTTGGGCTGCAGGGAGTGCCCGCACGGTGAGAGGAATTTTCCACTCCTCTCCGGCAAGCATGTCTGACCCCGCTGGGGGACTGTCCCCAGCAAAGCAAAACCATATTTTCTGGTGTCCCAGCTGCCCCTGTCTGGCCCTATAGACCCTGCCACGCAAGGGTGCCTAGGCACAAGTCAAGGCAAGGGGTGGCTGTGTTGCTTGGGGCATGGCGGCACCCTACAGGGCTAGGCTGGGGTGCCACCATCCCCAAGGCAACCTAACCACCCCCATCTCACCATGGGGCCATTATTGTATCCTGGCGATGAACTGCCCATTAGCTTTCCCTTTCCAAGCATGTGGGCCAAGTTGGTGTGAGCCCTGCGCTGGTCTGGTCCCTGTCCCAGGGACTTGCTTTTCAGCGACGCTTGTCCTGTTTGCAGGGGGCACTGGGTGACCCTTGCCAGGGCCCTGCAGGCTGCCTGGATCAGCTCTGATCTGCTGTGTCTTCTGGCATATTGGAAACGTCTCAAAGACCAGCACGTTCGTAGTATGAAAAGAGTGTGCTCCATCATGTGCTGGCTGATGTATGGTATTTAGCATGCTAAAACCCAATTTAATTTGACCAGCTAACGTCCTGGAGCTGCAGCTTGCTTTGTCTGCCTTGTGATCCCACTGTGCTCTCAACAGCCCTGGAGCAGCGGGGGGCTCTCCTCCCTGTGTCCCCCCGGCTGCTGGGGGGACACCGCTGCAATATATTTTCCAGTGCTTTGGCCAGCTTGATTTAAAGTGACCTAAGTGACAGAGATCCTGGTCATTCTCTGGTGAGGGCTCTGGGATGACTCTGTTTCCCCTCTTTTTTCCTTCTGTTCCTCCTTCCTTCCCTCCCGCCTGCCTGCCTTCCTTCCTTCCTTCCTTCCTTCCTTCTGCTCTCCCTCTCACTTTCACTCTCTCATTTTCTCTCTTTCCTCCCTTTCTTCCTTCCTTTTGCTGCCTCCTGGACATGCCCCTACTGCCACCCTGGTGCCCCTGTGCCCATCCCTCTGGCATCTGGGCTGGCAGCAGCAGAGCCGCAGAGATGGTGTGACACCCTGCCTGCGGGGAGTCCTCCAGCAAAGTCCCAGCAGCGGAGGAGGGCTATTCTCCCCGTGTCCCTTGCCATCGGGGCTGAGGTCCCTGCGTGGGGTGGACAAGGTGGGCAGGGAGCAGACGTGCGTGGCTGGGAAGGCACTGCTGATGTGTCAGCTATGTATAACTGCACTCACCACGCATAGTGGCTGCGCTGACCTAAGGATCCTAAGGTGGATCATGGTTTTAATGTAGAGTAATCGCTATTATTACCAAGCTGGTATTACGGGGGAACAAGCCAAGCTTTGGGCACACCACCTCCTCTCCTGTATTGTGCCCACAGGGCGTCCTGTGGCCCACGTGTAGTGGAGGTGGGACAGCATGGCAAGTCCTTGCCGGCAAAGGCAGGCGTGGAGGCAGACTTGGCTTCCATCGAAGGTGTCTGGCAGGGCAGGAGGAGCCCTTTGTGCTCCCTTTCTCCCTGTCTTGGCTCGGACCATCCGCTCCCCCTGCAAGCTAGAGCCACCCTGAGGCTGCTCCCCTCTGCGTTACCCATGGCAGTATCACCAGAGCTGGGATGGCGTCTTCACTGTGGCCTCAGAGAGGAGGTAGTAGAGGAGGAAGGAAGGTTTCCTTCACTTCTGTGCGAAAAAGACTGGCAATCCCCCAAAGCCAGATTTTCCCACCAGGTAGAAACAATTCCCAGTTCACAGGTTTCCCCCAGGGCTCCCTTGTGCTCAAGTGCCATCACCTAGAACTGCCTTGGCTGGGCACCCACCTATTGCCTGCTCCGTGTCTCACCCACAGGATGAATAAAAATGATTAATTGGGGTTTTACTGCGCAGTCAAGCGACTGCTGTAGTTACAGGATCCAGCCAGTGTCACGGCTGCTCACAGCCCAGGGTTGCTCGTACCATTTTGCACCCGGCTGTTCCCCCCGCAGCATGTGCGATGGCTGTGCCAGCCCAGCCGGGCGCTGCTGCGTCGGAGCAGCACCGACGCTTGCTCTGACACCAGAGGCAAATCAGGCTCCCCCGTCCCTTCCCAAGTCCCTGCAGGCTCAAGGCTGGTGCGTGCTGGATCAGGGCACGGTGGGAGTCAGACCCTTGCCAAGACAGCGGCGGGGTGACGGGATGCACTGGCTGAGGGTCCTCCCTGGGAAAGGGCACGTGCTGGGCCTGACACTGTGCGGGGAACCCGGTCTTTGGATGGAGACAGGGCAAGAGAAAGGGGGAATGTGTGGTTTGCTTATGGCAGCAGATGGCTGGGAACAGAGGAGAGGCTACTTTCTTCTCTCGCCCCCAGCTCCCGGTGTCGTGGCTTGTGCACGCAGGCAGAGGCCGGGGCAGGCAGCAGGGCACTCGATGCCTGCACATTCTCCGCTGGGGAGAGACAGAGCTTGGGCAAAAGGCATCAGAAAAGGCAGCAGGTCCTGTCCTGCCCCCGGATTCTTGGGACATGGTGTTCTCTCTGAGCGATGATAAGGACAATCAATAATAAAAACAGGCAGTTGGGACGCAAGCCCAGCCTCTGGCCAGCGACCTTCAGGAGCTGGGTTACTGGAGCGAGCGCAGGCGTTCTTGGCAGCGGCGAGAGCAGCGCCTCATCGGGAGCAAGCGGAGGGTAAACACTGCCGCTGGACGCGCGCAGCGGAGCGTGTGGCTGCCCGAGCACACGGCTGGCAGCCCCACAGCACACCCCCCGGGTGCGCAGCCTTTCACACCTTTGGGTAGCCACCCCCGCGCAGACGCTGCTGGAGCGGCTCACACGCATGCATGTGCGCACCGTGCACCTCGATAAAGAGCTAGGACAGTAATGAAGCTCCCACGGACGCACAGGAATGCGTGTGCTTGTTACCCCGCTAACAGCACTGGCGAGCAGGCGGGCAGCGCGCCGTGCACATGCGCAAGGGGGAGGCACGGCCAGCCGAGCCTCCGGAGTAACCCTGAGCACTTACATAACAATTTGCATTACAAACCTCTGCACAAACACGACCCACTTGCCGATAACACAGCTGATCTCAGCAAGATCCTGAAAAAGCGAAAAAAAAAAAACCCAACCCAGCTCCTGGACGCAGCTGGTCGGGACTGTTTGGGTCTTGTGACGTGGGAAGGCTTGCAATGCCC